AATAATAATAATAGATTTAAAATTAATTCGAAATTAAAACAATTCGATGCATTATTAGTCATAAGATTGAAACAAAAACATTGAATAATCCACAAATTTTTTTATTCAAATATCAAATTAAGCATTCTCAAACTTAAACAAGCATCGTTTTTTTTTGTAGAAAAAAAAATTTCAATTTAATAATTGCTTCTTCGAAAATAATCATTTGTTTGTTATCATATGATTCATCATTTCATGATTCATTCTTGCTCTTCTTTTGATTAATTATTTTCAGCAATTGTTTAATCTTATCATATCCCATTGTTTAGTTTTTATGAAATTTTTTTAGGGAAGGAAAAATTGATGATAATTTAAGATTAAAATATTAAACGATACAAATGCATCCTTATCATTGATCCACAGAATGATGAAAAAAAAAATTTTATAAGAGGATATAAATGTATCGAACCTTTACTTCTTTCATATTTAAAATATTTTTGGTATATTATTTGAAAAGAGTAAGAGATATAACTGGAAAATAAGAATTTCCAATTTTTTTTGGTAACTATTTTCAATTTTCAATTCAAATATTGAATTTTCAGAAATCCAAATTTTGAATTTATCATTGTTTTGTTCAAAATATCATCGATAAAAAGGGAATAAATGTATAATCTATTGAATATAACTGTCATGAGCTTCCTGTTACATTTCCAAATAGACTTACAAAATATTGCTCTTCAAGATACGCTTGAAGCAACAATTGATAAATATTCCTAACATTCCTATTCGTTATCACTACGATATTTTATCATAATGAAGATAACCTATCATTGACCAATGCAACCATCTGTATAATCATATTATCATATCTCATGTATAATTCAAAATACTCCATTTGCAACATTGTTAGTTTATTTTGCAAAATAAAAACATGTAAGCAAATTGCAATGCAAATAAAATGCGCTAATGTCACAAAGTTAACCTGATTAAGTAGCTCAAATAATTACACAACTATACATGGATAGACCGCTCTAGATGAGAAGTTCATGATTCCAATTATGAAATGGCTTCAATTACTTGAACTAAATAATGAATATTGTGTTGTCAACGAATTCTTGTACTAGCAATATAACATTAAAAGGCTTAATCACAATAAAACTTAATTAGAGCTCCCCTTACTTATATAATACTTATTGTCGTAACAGTATATTCGTATTCAATACAATAAGAAAATTAATAAGAATTAAATTGCATAGAAATTTAACATAGAAAGGAAAACGAAAAGATGATGAAAACAGTTATGATGGTGGAAATAATCCTACTCTGAGAAAATGGGCAGCCAAATCTCAAGAGCATAAGTTGTTTCTCCCTGGTAGAACAGAATTTCCCCTCTACTAATCGTATTTTAAGAATAGTTGGGCAAAGAATGTGTTGTGTAGGCCATAGAAAATTTTCCCTGACCTCATTATCCAATATTTCGGGATTTAAAGAAAGGTTCTTCAAGCATTTCTTTTTTATCTTCCTGATTTCTAAGCTATAAGGAGGGCATGAAAAACAAAAAAGTCAAATTCGAATTCCAACATTTCAGTCAAACCAACAATATCGAGATTAAAATTTCAAAAAACCGAGTAAGAATCATCGGTATTGGATCAAAAAAATACAATATATTAAATTGTTGAGACTTATACAAACATACACGTACGCTGTAATAAACCACAGATAAAAGTTTCACTTTTTGCTCATTTTATCTCATTTCTATTTTTACTTCTACCTTTCCTTTTTTCTTTTTTTTTGCAAAAATAAAAAGTGAAACAGAAGCAAAAGTAGTAGTAAGATAAAGTGAGTGGAAAAGTGAGCTTTTTGAAAAAGAAGATATTCAACATATCTGACTCCCGAAATACCAAAATCGATCAGATTTCTGAAAATCCAAGGAAATATTCCCACTGCTATTGAAAATGATACATAATGAAAGATTGTCCAGCTCACAAGTCTCATTTCTCTCCACAATACATCCTAACTAGTGTTTGTGATAACTTTTAGCTATAACTTCTATAACTTCCCATAGACAGATGATAAAATATGAACACACAAATGTAAAAACACTCACATTCACCAATAAAACTTCACAAATTACAACGTATTGAATATTAATAATAACCGATTCATAATGATGATTTAATAAGTCACTTCGTTTTAATTCAAAAATCGAATCGACATTTTTTGCTCGATATCAGTCTTTTCCATCGCCTGCAATTTAGCAAACTGTTTCATAAAGCCCCCTTAAATTATCGATTTTGATGATGAAAACAAAAAAAAATCTCGAAATAAAAGAGCAAAAAAGCGTTTTTGAGGGGATACTTCCAAAAATAGCAAAGATTTCCTTAAAAGCAAACGGTTTGAAGAAAAAAATTAATTGAAAGGAAGAAAAAGAGAAAGCATTGAAACCCCAAACAAACAAAGCTTATATGTGCTCTCAGGATTTCAGGAGTACGCAGTCTTCCAGGATTTTTGGAATAAAATTTCTGAAGCATATAAAATACTCATATCACTTTTACAATAATTACTGCTAGAAGTAATGCTCTTTGAAAACATGTCCTCATCAGGATATATTTGCAGAGATCTCTACGTTGAAAGGAAATCAAAAAGTAGAAGTAGACCGACTTACTAGTTGCTTCGCATTCAATTTAGATTTTTTATTTTATTTTTTGAACAGAAAAGAACAGAACCTACCCGGCAAAATTCATCGAATGATATTTTCCCATCGTTGTCAATATCAGCTTCAGATATTGTCCGATCGGCAATGCTTTCTAACTGAAATCAAATACAGTTAAAATAATTCCCTATCAAATATTGATCCTTTCACAGGCTTATACTCAAATTAATATGCAAATTAGTTACTCCGGTACTTTTTTTGAACAATGTCCGATAAAGCTACCATTTTACAATTAGTTTTAAGAGTATTATCTGGTCTGAAAATTTCCAATCCATTTGCATTTGATTTGACCCCTTCATCTTTCAAGTAGCTCAGTTAAAAAGTAAATCCCAGGATCGCTAAAATAATTTTTTCGAAAACTGCATCATCGAATACCACGAAGCGGGTAAGATCAATTTACGCGCATGTAAAAACAGCCCAGCTTTACAACTTCATCAAAAAAAAACATACTTGTTCAGCAGTTATATTTGCACCAACCATCATATTTAGGATCACTTTGAATTCATCTCTTGTAATAAAACCATTCTTATTCAAATCATACATTGAAAAGGCAACTATAAATAAGTTTGGTAAATTATATAAATATGAGTTTGCAAAATACCATGATTTTACTAAAGTCAAACCAACAGATAACAGTAACACTAAAATAACACCAGTATTACTATAGAGTACCTCGACTTCTTCTGATACTTCTTCAGTCTTAGATTAAGAATCTGCACGTCTTTTTGCAGATTCTAAACTTAAGACTGAAGGAACATTGAAGCAGTGTGTTCGAGGTATTTTACCTAATTATATTGGTTACTATAATGGACGCCAACTAGCAATCGGGATAAACCTCATTCATTATAATCTAAACATTGAATTTCGCATATCAGTGCCTGATCTGCTATAGGTGGAAATAGCAGTAAGTTTAATGCAACATCAAATTGCTTACACTTCAGTTTTTCTTCCCTGCTGTTCAAAATATTTTTTTTTCTTTACTGATTGGCCTAAAGTGTGCCAACACTCTTATGAATTCTCGGAAATTGATTTTTTGCGCCAGATCCTCTCTAAAATATTAATATTAGTTTCCAATCAATCATTTATGGACGTTTATGTATGTCATGAATAAATGTAAAAAAGCAAGATTTATATTCAAAGTCATGAAAACAAATACTACAAAAAATGAATAGGAAATTAACAAAATTCGTTACGTTTCTGTGAAAAATGCATCAACAATACGATCACCCAGTGGATTGATTGCAAGTTCGGGAATCCGTAAGAAATCATCACGATCCAAGTATCCACGACCTGTTAAATCAGCAAATAATTACTTGATTCCTACAAGTTACAATTTTAATTAGGTTAAATGCTGAATAACGAAATCCGGCGTTCTGATATGTATAACTGCAAAAAAAATTAAAAAAATGGCTATTCTCCGACCACATTTTCTTTCTCTTGGATATTTCGGACTAAACGGAAGTGCATTTCCCGAGCAAGCCAGCTATCACTTGTTGCTGAAGATAATTCTGGAGGGATACATAACAGATAAGCGCAGCCTGCAGAAACACAAATATTTATAAAATTTACTTAAAATTTGGTTAATAAAGAAAATTTTGTTTGCACCAACCCTGTTTGTCGAGTGACAAAAACCGACTGTAGAGCCGAACAATTTGATTTCGTGAAACTGAAAAAAAAAAAACTCAATAAAATTGCAAACTGATTAGTATGGGTTAGTGGTAAATTATAGGAAATGTTGAAAAAGTTGGTATATGAGATTCGTTTAAAAATAGTGATGCTTAGTCACGAGCAAACTGCTGATGCTTGATCGTGTCACAAGTAATCTCGTGATGCTGAATCGTGTCACGAGTGAACTGGTGATGCTTAGTGTGTCACGAGAAAACTGCTGATGCTTAGTCATGTCACGAGTAAATTCTTATCATACGAAGACATAATGAATCAACCTGAATGTTTCAAATAGCTCCAAAGTTCTTGAGCATAAAACAACAAAACAGTATTATATGCAACGATTAGTAAGTATTTAGCATATATTACCAATTAATAGGTATTATCTCCCCGTTCGAATTTGATAAACCTCAGAGAAATGAAGCAAATTTAAAGAAAATATGATGAAACTTACATCCAGTCTCCGCTGAAATCGCCTGAATTTCATCTTCCTGCAACATCAACGAGCTGCTATTCCCCATATTGATCAAAGATTGATTTAATAATATTTGATGGATTCAGTAATATTCAATCGTGAACATACACACTCACTGCATGCAAATATACAATCTTTTTTCCTGAAAAAAAAGATGAATAGTTTAATAATAGATGGGTAAATGACGCAAGTATGCGCATTTTTGCAAGCTATTTACTTCTGAAAATAAAATCTAAAAAGGAATTCAAAATTGACAATAAAAAGTTAATTATTCTCATAAATAGATCAATGCTGAATTAGACATGATAATGAAGAGTCTATTAAGGGGAATATAGATTCACCCATAAGAACCGTTACATGATTCAGAAACAAAGCGGAAAGATTGAACTTACAACCCATATAGCTGAACTGTGAGACACATGAATTTCAATTGATCGTTTGATAATAATCATGGATGAAAAGTTAAAATCACTAGCAATCTCTAACAAATAAAACTTAGTCTAGCTATGAACTAGAGTTCAAACCTAATTCGGATCTAATCCATAAATCTGCATTCTAATTTATTCCATTTAAACTATCAGATTACCGACTTTTTTGGTTCATCATACCATTTAAATGATACAAAATAAAGCCATAAGGAAATTACAAACTTTCATTCGTAGAACTAACCACAGCAATCACTGACTAAGTATACAAAAATGTCTACTTCTACAGGTGATATTTGAAAAAAGCAAAAAAATGATTGCAGAGAGATCAAAAATCGTTGATAATTGTATTGAAAAATGTTCGTCAATTGTAACAGAAAAGAAGTTGACTTTCATAAGAGACCGATATAATTGCTGCAAATTGAAGCAATCTTCTCCAAAATAAAAATCCATTACATTGTATGATTAACTATACCAAATTAAATCAAATAATTAAGGTCAAATTTACAATCAATCAGTCCCCAATATTCTCACAATTTTAATTCTTATTTTCATACTGTACGATTTCGATGAAACATAATCGATATCATTTGGTTAGCTATAATAAATTATATAGCATAAATTAGTTTCTTCCATCCACTGATATTGTTCTTAATTGAAATATGTTAGCGATAAATTGGCAAGAAAATTATGATAATTGTATGACAAACTTTTTATCAATTCCTATCAATTTTTTATCACTTTTCATTAAAGCGATATTTGTCAAAAATAAAAACATTGATCGTTACAAAGTATCAAGAAACAATTTCTATGAAAAACAATCAATCTTTCTGTTTTCTTATCATAAGTAGTACATAGTACATATTACCATATACATATACCATTACTCTATTAAACATACCCATATATATATATATATATATATATATATATATATATATATATATATATATATATATATATATATATATATATATATATATATATATATA